GGCAACAGAGTGAGACTGTGTCTAAAAAATAATAATAATAATAAAAACAAATAAAAGGAGATTGTAAAGTTGGGATTTGCCATAGCTTTGCCAGTAATTCAGCCACAGTAAATAAGAATGGGGAAGACTGAGTCTTTATTGCCCATTTTTTTCCCAGGGATTGCTACCCAAACATGATCAAATTGACATATTACAATTTACTGTGGGGTGGTTACTAAATGGAATAACTGTTGCATCTTCATTTGAAGAAGCCAAGAATTGGATAGTTTAATAATTAGCCCTTCTTTGTATAACTCTAATGCCTGAGAAAACCATTTAGGAAACTGATCAACCCTCTCAAATTTATAGTGAGTGTTGACATTTTTGTTTCCAAGTCTGCTTGCACACATATTGGATAGGAAAGACTAGATTCCTGAGGTAAATATGGTGTGTGACTTTCTCTGTAGTATAAATAACCATTTCTAGTTAAAATAATTTCAAGATTTTGCTTAAAACTTCACACAGATCTTTTCCCCTTAACAACTAATGGATCACAGACAAGCTAAAAGTAGCCTTAATTGACCTAGGACTGGAAAATCATGTAATGGTAATGAAGAGTGGCAGAATATGCCACCTGAAAATGTGCCACTTTGGCATGGGGATTACTTTAAGCCAAAGGCACTTGAAAAACAGCAGAAACAAGAGGGGTATTCTAACATTGCCTTTTTCCCTTTGAAAACAAGAAACAAAAATTCCCATGTTAAAGATGCCCTCCCTATACCTGGAAAAAGGAAACATTCTTCAACAGGGAGTCACAGCTGAGAGAATTTTGTACAGCCAAACCTTGTTAAAAATAATTCCTATCTTCCTTTAGCTTCCCCACAAATTTACTGATCCACAATTGTATCTCTTCGTTCAACCTAATTTTAAAGTATTTAGGTTTTGCCACTTCTTTGAGTCTTCATTTTCTTATGAGGCCTCGCATATCATGCAAAACTTACATTAAATTTGTATCTTATTCTCCTGCTAATCTATTTTATGTCAATTTAATTCTCAGGCCCAGCTGGGGACCCTAAAAGGGTAGAGGTAAAGTTTTGCCTCTCCAGCAGTAACACTACCCTTTGCTTTGATAAAAAACTTCTGGGAAACTATAAAATTCCTTGAAAAATTAAGTCTCCTCTCAATACTGAGATGAAGTTCCACATAAACTTCAAACTTGAGTGGAAATCTTTTTATAAACAAGAAATGTAAATTTTCAGCAGCGAGTGGAAAGAATCTCAAAGGCCAATAACAAAGGCAGATTCTGCGATATTGAGATCCTTGATATGTTTTCTTCTTAAGAGAAATGGTTGGAGGAAAAAAATCTATAATCTTATAATGAGCTCTGAAAGATTCTTGGAGTATTACTAAGCTGAGATCCAGTAACCCCATCCCTTTGAAAACCTCCGATCAGTGACCCAAAGGTGAAAACATTCCTTTGCAAGAACGTTAGTGCTGAGCAGTGTGCCCCCATCGCCAGCGTCACCAAATTACTGATCTGAAATAGCTTCTCGGGATTTGTTAAATAGACTCAAAAGTGGCATTTTATCCATTTTCAAAAATATTTCTA